TATGTTGAGAGGTCGGTTGCGATTGTGGATCGAAAGATCAAGGTTCTGAGGAACAAGGAGGTGCCCCTGGTTCAAGTCCAGTGGCAGCATCGGAGAGGGTCCGAGCTGACTTGGGAGCCGGAGTTGGAGATGCGGGAGTAGCATCCAGAGCTGTTTGCGGAGCAAGACTTCGAGGGCAAAGTCTGATTCTAGTGGGGGAGAATTGTAACATCCGGATTTCCAAGTATTATGTTTGATCATGTTTTTGAGTAAAAGAGAGGGACTCGACGAGTTGACGCTTGGACTCGTCGAGTAGGATCGCGTTTGCTGACTGGATTAATGAGCAGACTCGACGAGTCGGAAAGGGGGGACTCGACGAGTCCATGCTGTGGGCTGAAACCCTAAATCCCCGGGCCTGAGCCCTATTTAAAGGACCTTATAGCCCTCTTGTGCGGCTACCTGTCCAGAGAGTGTCCCTTGAGAGCTTGAGCGAGTTGAGAGAGTGATAAGGCCATATTGATCGATTTTGGTATGATTTAGCAAAGGAGAAGTTGTTTCCAGCAAGAGGAGGTCAAGGGAGATGTGGATCCAGGGTTTTCAAGTTCAGATCTACACTGTTGAGGTATCAAATTGAACTTCCTTTCTGTTTTGGGTTAAGATTTATGATCTAGGGTTTTCTATAACCTTTTAGGGCTTGAAAAGTTGAGTTTATGGTCCCTTGCTGTGTTAGACCTCGGATCTGGACCCATAGAGGCCCAGAGAGCCTTCCACATTCTGCTTTATGTTGGTTTATGGAGGAAAGGAGACTAGGTTGCCATTTTAGAAGCCATTTCACCAAGGAAAGCCTTGGGTGCATTGCATGTGAGTCAAGTTTCGACCTTTACGTGGTTATTGGTCGTGGCGAAGTCAGATCTATAGTTTAGAGAAGCAGATCTGACCTCAGAAGGTCATTTGAGAGTTGTTATGGGAGCAACTTGCCGAGTCCATAAGTGGACTCGACGAGTCGAGTCGGGGTTGCCCCGCGATTCGTTGTAGAGTGACCCGGCGAGTGGAGGAGGGACTCGACGTGCCAAGTGAAGCTTAGAAGGATTCAGGGGACCCGCGTGGACTCGCCGAGTCGCCCGAGTGCACTCGACGAGTCTGGTCAAAGTTGACCGTTGACTAGAGTTGACTTCGTTGACTATTGTGGTTTAGTCAATGTTTGGACTTTTGAGCCATTGGAGGGGTAGAATGGTCTTTTACCCTCCTTAGAGAGCTTAGAGAGGGATTAGCCGAGTCTTTGAAAGTCGTATTGATTAGAGTAATTATTTTATGTGATTAGGCGGAGGCTAGATCAGTATTTCCGAGTTCGAGGGTTTCCGAGTTATCCGAGGTGAGTCTTCTCACTATACTTTACCTTGAGTGGTAAGTAGAGTTATGTGACAGAGTATCTTGTATGCTATGTATGTGATGTGTTGCACTGCATTATTTCTATGCGATTTATGCTGTGTGTATTCCAGAGTTTACAGAGTAGGACCGGAAGGTCCACAGAGTTAGGACCAGAGGGTCCACAGAGTTAGGGCCAGTGGGCCCACAGAGTTATAGCATCGAGTGGCTAATATGTGTTATATGTGGTATTTTGGGGAACTCACTAAGCATTTATGCTTACAGTGTTTTGTGTTATGTGTTTCAGGTACCAGTGAGGATCACGGGAAGGCGCCGGCATGATCAGTACACACTATTGGAGTTTTTATACATTTGATCTTGGGATGTGTTTTTATGGATTTGATATGTGATACATTGAGATTTGAGGATATTTATGCATGAAATTACATTTTAAAAAGTGAAAAATTGTTTTAAAATTTTGGTGTTACAATTACGTGTTATATTTATATATGAATGATAGTTAAACTGTAAAAAAAGTTAAGCATATGTTTTATTCATAAATGAATAACGAATGTACTGTAATAAAAATCTGATCGATTTTTATTCACTTATGAATAACGAGAGCTGAAAATCTAAAAAAATAAAAAATTTTATTTTATCTTAAAACTATATCAATATAGATGTATATTTATAGAGAATAAAAAATTATGAATTTTGATATATTTAAAATAATTTTTTTTTGATAAAAATAGCTTTCTAAAAATAAAAAAGCAATAAAAAAATATTTTTGTGTATATTAAGGTAATGATTGACATAGTTTAAGGAAACATGTTTGGTTGGAATGTATCCGTTATCCATTTTCGTCGGTACATCTAAGTGTTTTGCGTCAAAACAAATGTGTGGCTGAAAATGATTCATTCATTCTCAACCTGTTTTATTTTCTTATCTATATATATAATATATATATATATATATATATATATATATATATATATTCACGACCATTATTTAACTTTGGACGTGCAATTATAGCTAAAGTGTGGCTATAAATTATTTTTAGTCAAATGTTTAATCGTTTATCATTAATATTGTATAAATGTAGTTACACATACAAAATTCAACCATTACAAAAAATTATTTATAGTCATAATGAAATTTTCTTTATCATGACTATTGATAACTTTTTGTCACAAAAAAAACTTTAAACCGTAACCGTAAAATAATTCTAGTAGCAGGTTTTATTATTAACATGACTTGTGTTTACCCTATAAACACAAATAAGAAATTAAATCGTTATTAGAAAATACTTGTAGTAATAGTTTTTAAATTCTATCGCGACCATTATTAACATTTGTATACACAAATGTAATTAAACCATGACCATAAATTACTTTTAGTTACATGTTTAATCTCTTATTATAAGTATTGATTAAATGTAGTGTCACATAAAAAGTTCTTACAAAGTTTATTATAGTCACACTAAAATGTTCTTTATCATGATTATTGAAAACTTTTAGTCACGAATTAAAATTTGAATCGTGAGCAAAAAAAATCTTTTAGTTATAGTTTTTATCTTTTATTGTGAGTATAATAACCTATTTAGTCACAAATTTATATTGTTGAAAATAGGTTTTTTATATACTATTCGCCAACATTTATTACTGTAATACGAAAAATAGAAATATCCAATATAATATAATATAATAAAAATACTTTTTACTAAAATATCTTAAACTAATTATATCCAAAATCCGTTACCAAAATAAAAATTATATAAATTTTTTTTAAATGTGTGACAGTTGACTTTTATTTTTTTAATAGTAGTATTGTTTTTTGTTAGTGTATCTTACATCAGTGCGATACGGTCTTGTAAGTGGTTATATATGTTGGAGTTCTCCTTCTCTCCATGATGACTCTTTTAGAGAGTTAATATTAGGCTCTACATATATTTACATGATATTAGAGTCAGTGTCCGCACCCCCGTAACTCAGCACACCCCTGCCTATCCTCATCGAGCCTCTGACTCTGAGGGGGAGTGTTAGTGTATCTTCACATTGGTGCCACGTGTTCATATAAATAGCTATATATGTTAGAGTTTCCATTCTCTCCACAATGGCTCTTTTGTACGGCTCCACATATTTTTAAATTTTTTAGCTACATTCCTTTTCTTCCCGTCTAGTTTTACATAATATTTGGGGTCGTTCCTCTTTGGTCTTATGTAGTTCACTTGCTTCAATTGAAGATATAGTGAAATCTTTAACAGGAGGAAATTAGGTGTTCAGTCTACACTGAAAAAAACAAGAATAATTTTATTTAATATGATTCTTTATTAGAATAAGGTTTAATGTAACATCCCATTTTTGCATTTCAATAGAATTCAATATAAACCGTCATTTATAAAATTCAAAGTAGAGATATATTACTTTTTAGCAAAGGTAATGGTCATAAACATGTGGGAAACATCAATATGATTTTTGTAGATATATAGAACGCCCATATCCGACTTCGTATGAAGAAGTTACGCTTCTTCGAAGTATCGCGATTAAACTGACACGGCTATATGCGTCGTAAATTACGAATCATAGATAGATTTCTTATTAGCCTTAGTGATCTAAACAAAAGTCATAGTAATCGTAAAATCGAGAGCGTGCATGTAGAGAACGTCTAAATATGACTTCGTATGAGGAAGTTATGATTTTTAGAAGTTTTAGCATAGTAGTGCGGGCACAAAAATCGAAATTCAAATTGGCTGATTATTAGCCAAAACAATCTAAATGAGAGTTGAAGATCTTGTGTATACGAACCCGTCGATATAAAGATAGTCGATAACGGAGTTCGTATGAAGGCGTTATGAATTTCGCATGGACTTTAACAGTCTAAATCGGTCTAAATATAAATTATAGTTAAAGTGAGAATTAGTTATTGATACCTGAAGGAAAGTTTTAGAGCTCTTCGAGAGGATTCCGAAGATTTCAAGAAAATACCTGTTGTGATGACGTGGCACCACCAGGAGGCGTCATGTGGCATTGTCGGAAGCCCCCTCCTCCGAGAGACCGAGTGACGTGACATAGTCGAGAGCGTGACACATGGCACCATATGGAGGCCACACATGGCATGTTCTAGAAGAAGGTGAGTTGGCCCAAAGGAAATCAAACACGTGGCAGCGACTAAGGGTGGCCAGCACGACAAGAGGGAGCGGCACACCTTTTGTCTGTGCACGACGCGCCTCCGAAATACCAATATAAATATGTTTCAAACACTTCATTCTTTTCCACTCCATTCTCACTTCTCTCTCGCTTATATGTTGAAGGCAAAAAGTATATGTTGAAGGCAAAAAGGGGAGGACCAGCTTCGTGCTGTATGCCAAGGGCGGACCAGTTTTATGTTGAAGGTCATTATGTGTATGCATTGTATATGTATTGTGGTATATGGTATTTTGGGGGAACTCACTAAGGTCCCGTTTGATAGTTCCTGACTGAGAAAGAGCTTACTAGGAAATATCTGTCTGGGTAAGAAATCCTGAATGAGTAAGAAACCATGCTGTTTGATTGTACATCTGACTTAATGTTCTGACTGATGAAAAATGACCATTTTACCCTTCTACTCTATACAACAATGGATGAAGTTGTTGAAAAATTATAAAAATGCACTAAAGATAATCAAATTCAATTGCTCTACTCATTTAAAATATTTTTCTTCAATCTTCTTGCCTTATATCATTTATCAAGATAAACATTAAAAACAGAATAAATTCCGAAAAAACACAATTCTCATTTCAATATGACCCAGTTATGATATAATAGCCATAGCCTATTTCTTGTTGGGTTTCTTCTTTGAAACCGAAGTCACAGCCACCTGTGGTTTTGGATGCTTTTCAGCTTCACTTGGATCCAACCACTTGAGAGGATGTTTGTTAAAAAAGGGCCAATTAGGAATTGTAATCAAAGTTGTCAAAATCACCCCCCCCCCCCCCAGCATACACTATCAACATCAGTTGAAATGAACCCACAACATAACCTGTTATAAATGTTGCAACTGCAAATACCACCAGCAATATCTGCATCAATTGCTCTGCTACCTTCTGTCCTTGCCAATCCATCTATTTACCCAAGGGTATTATCGGAATTAAAAAATATATAAGGTGTAATCGGAGTCAATCAGCTACCTTCAACAGTAAATAGATGGATTTAGGGCAAGGAGTAAGCAATTGCTCTGCTACCTTCAACGGTAAATTCATTTTTATCAGTTTTGTACATGTAATTGAAATCAGAGTCAATCAGCTACAAAGGAGTAAGCAAAAGGACAATCATAAGGTGAAATCGAACACAATGAGCATTTAGAGCAAGGAGCTTTGATCGGCTGGAGAAGAAAAGAACAGCAGAAGCATACCTGATAGACGAGGAAGGAGCTTCGACCGGCGATTGGAAGAGGAAGAAATAGGTCGATGTTGCTTGCTGGAGAAGAGGAATCGCTGAAAGGGGAGAAGAAAGGGCACCGATGGAAACTTTTCTCCTCTTCTCAGTCAGCTGATTTCCAACTTCTTTCTCAATCAGCTATAGATTTCTGAATCAGACACGCATAAAGTGTTTATCAAACACAAATAGCTGAGCGAGTCAGCCAAAATGGTCTGAGCCGACTCAGTCAGACCAATATCAAACATAGCCAAAGTTTCGTGCTTACTCAGTTGAATATAAATGTTTTTCAGGGACTTCATTGATTCGTGAGAAGGGCAAGGTTCGACTGTACACACGCGCATTCGCAACATGTTTCCGCATAATGTAATTATTCTCTAATATATTTTTATTAAATAAAAATAAAAAAATGGGTTGAAACTCGGCACGTTACCTTTAACTAATGAATAAAAAAAATTAATGAATTAAACAACTAAATACCTCAACATTAAGTGTTAGAAGTGATTTTGACCGAGCCATAAAAGAATCGCGATGCCTCTACTATTTTTATCTCATCGTTTTTTTTGGAATACACGCATCTGACTTTATTGCTATACCCACTTGAACTTTAAAGCAATTAGTCGGTAGTGGAAATCCATAAATTTTAATATTTTCAATAGTAGAATAGTGTGTAAAACAATATGCAATGATGTTTCTAATATTAATTCTAGACAATGTACATTTTATTGTTTGCGCAAATGCATATGCAACTATGTTTCCATGAAAGTCAACATTGCCCCGACGCTCTTGTGTCTTGGTCGTGACGCGTTGATTTGTCCAGTCATTTGATGTGTGTAACGGCGTGAGGAGACAAGTGGCGAAAGAAAGAAAGATGTGGTAGAACCGAGGAATAAGCGTGGGTGTGATGCGTCCATGACCGTGACACGACACATCATCGTGATTAGTCAGTGGACATGCGTCATAAGGCCAATACACAGGGAAAAGTCTTAGGAGGAACACCTAGTCATGTCGCGCCTAGAGGAGAAACACAACATTTTTCGCATCTACAGCAAAAATATATAAGATGAAACGTTGTGTTAGGTTGATTTTTTTGGGAAAGAAAACAAAAATGAAAAGTAAGGAAAAGAGCTAAGAGAGGGGCAAACATTGATGATACGATGAGGATACAAAACGTCGAGCGGGTTAAAGGTATCCTCTCAGTTTGTTTATATGTGTTTATGATTACATCGTGTGTGGTATGTGATTGTTAGATCCCGATTATGTCATAGGATGTAACGCCCACGCTTGTCGGTATGCATTAATAAGATGATATAATTTTAATGGTCAACAATAGTAACATTTATATGAAGTAAATAAAGAGAATTATTGAGTATTCGGGTCTTAAAAAGATTAATAATTAGGCCAAATAACATTGATGAAAGTCGAAGTAGTCATGATGAGGATTCCGGGGATATAATGAATGCTCAAATCGGACTTATAATTTTAATGGTCAACAATAGTAACATTCGACTTGATACGGCATTGAGTGTCGTAAATAGTGAATCGGAGATAGATCACTTATTAGTCTAAGTGATCTAAGCAAAAGTTGTCGTAATCGTAAAACCGAGAGCGTGCATATAGAGAACGTCTAAATCTGTCTTCATGAGAGGAAGTTATAATTTTTCTAATATTTCAGCGTAACTATGTTAGCACATAAATCAAATTTTTGATCGGTTGATTTTTAGCATAAACAATCTAGACGAGAGTTGAAGATCTCGTCAATACCGATCCGTCGATATAAAGACAGTCGGAAACGGTCGTCGCCTTCCGACAACACACGTCGATATAAAGACAGTCGGAAACAGACGTCAATATAAAGACAGTCGGAATCTCTGACAACGCACGAGATTGCGACACATTCCACCATGAGATTTCAACACGTCGCCTTCCAACATTTTGTGCGGCGCTCTCCGACAGTGTGCGCGACACACTTTCTCTCTTTTTTTTGCATATAAATAGCTTTCGAAGTTCAGAACTTTTCCACACCTTCCACTCGATTTCTCTCGATTTTAGCCCCAAAATTCCCTTAGTTTTGAGTTCTGACGAAGCCCTGCAACACCTAAGAGCTCGGAAAATAGTAGTTATCAAGTAAAGCTCTATCAGTGCAATTCCTTGATTTCTGTCTAGGGAATCTTTGTAAGTTAAATTACACTCTATATTATTTTAGTGTAATTTATATTTAAATTCATATTCGTTGTTATGAATTTATAAATAATATTTTTCAGTGATTCCAATGTCATATTACTGATTGATCTACTTACGGGGATGATATGTAGGCTGGATTTAGTGAGGTGTTTAAAATGAGATTTCCAAACACTATATGTCACACCCCCAAAACCAGAACGACAGAAACGTTCGGGGGAGGATGACGTCATGTATAGTATCACAACAATTGAATAATAGTAATCAAAGCACAACAACCATTATATTGATAACGTATAGTTTTTACATTTGTGTTCAAATCATTGTATACTTGACACCAAAAGTATATAGAAAAAACTTAAAAGACGTGACTTTATGATGCTCCGTCTTCTCAAAACCTGTGGATACCTGTCTACTGATTCCCTGAGAATACAAATAGTTTTGAAAAGAGTGTCAACAATTAAGTTGGTGAGTTCATAAGCATTTTTGTATTATAAGTCTGTCATTTGTTCCTTGAAAATGCAACTGTGTTATTCCAGAAAATCCTATATTATCTGTTGTAAATGAATTGTAGTCTTAATACCTTAAGACCAAAATGTGTAAGTGTTGTTGTACTATGAAATAGTATAATGTAGTTTTATTATTGAATAAAACCATATGAAAATGAATGTTCTCTGGAATGTAAGTTTCGTTGTACTGGAATAATTGTGTTCTGTAATTGTACTTGTATGGAACTCTGTGAATGTATGTGCCTGGATTCACCAGCTGTACTGTAAAATACTGTATTGTAGTTTCATTATTTAATAAAACTATTTGAACTTGTTTATGTATTCTTACACTAATCGTATTGTTAATATCAAATTGTGAGTTATGATAACCATTCTTGATGACCTAAGATGGCGTGATACGACGTTCTTCAGGCGTCGAAATTGGTACGACATTTGTCACCCCAGGCGTGCCGGCCTAACTGTAGCTAACAATTTAGGTGTGGGATTGTCAGTCCCGTATAGATCTATACACAAGTTTCACGCTCTCCCTCCAGGAGACTCTGGTTATAATTTCAGGACTTTCGTTGGCACTTTGATAAGTACTTGAAGTGTGTCTCACAAAACTATAATGACGATTACGTGTAGAATAACGAAAAACCATTTTGTAATGAATAAACTGTATGTATATCTCATAAACTATACCTATTATAGTTTATATGTTTGTTTTTGTATTGTATCCGAAACTTGGTAAAATAGTACGTATGTTCCATAAACTATACCTATTTTTGTTTAACGTGTATGTTTTGTTGAAATGAAAACCTTTGTATTTTTAACAACTATATATGTTTATAATCGTAAATCTGTGATAAAGGTATCCCGTGAAATTTAACATTTTTGTACAAACGGTAATAAAATAAGTTGCGAAAATATTCTTTTTGATTAACGTGTTGAAATAATTTTTATACTTATATATATATATATATATATATATATATATATATATATATATATACACACACACACATATATAAGGCATATATAATTATATAATTAAGATTAAAAAGACAGTCGAATAAATAATTCTACGCTAAGCCCACAACCGAACAAGGAACAAAAGTTAAGGCGAAATCACCAATTCTAAGCCTCTAGAATCTTTTATATATATATATATATATATATATATATATATATATATATATATATATATATATGGTAAAAAGGACAATTAAAATAATTTGAAATAGTTTAGATATTAACATAAGATTCCTTGTATTTTACTTGTATTCCCCCTAAAACAATGAAAAATCGTGAAAACGTAGAGGTATGAACTCACCTCTAGTGTGTGTTCCTCGATGGGTACAATCTGGTAGTGATGTTCTTCGGGTTAGAACACGCGAATGTGGTCGAAATCCTAATTTTTTTTACATTTGTAATATATATGCAAATTAGATATCTAGTAAATTAAAGTGTTAAATAATACTAGTTTTTGTAACAAAACTTACCAAATTAATTCCTAAGAATTAATTAAAAGGTTTGTTTCTTCCTGGGAAATTTGGATGAAGAATTGAAGTGTTCTTGAGGATGCTTGAAGATACACCGGAAACACTTGAAGGTTTGAAGATTTGCTTCTGAGTTTTGAGAGAAAAGTGGGGAGTTTTCGTAGTGTAAAATGTTAAGAATGAGGTTGTTTTCGGTTATATATATATATATATATATATATATATATATATATATATATATATATATATATATATATATATATATATATATATATATATATATATGGGATAAAATGATTTGACATGTGCATTGGGAGGTGTATTTTATCACCTTGGAATGTGTGCCACCTCCTAAATTAGAGATTTCGGCCTATCTATTCAACCGAGAACCATGATTTCGGTCTAAAAAGCAACCGAAAACCATGTTGATTTCGGTCTAAAGTCTCCACCAATAAGTGTTTTCGGTCCGAAGGAGGGGGTTTTCGGTCTCACATGAAATCACCAAAAGGTGATTTTGGTTCACACTTGGGATTTGATTCCCAAAACCGAAATCATCCAAGTCAAATGAATTTTAGTTATTAAATATTAAACAATTTAATTATTTAACTTATAATTTGATGTGTTTGACTTTTGATGACTGCTTTGACTTTTATTGACTGTTTTGACATTTATTGACCCGAAATAACTGGTTGTCACATTATCCCCCCGTTAGTTGGAATTTCGTCCCAAATTTGTTTCTAAAGTGGTACTCATGAACTAGGGAAAAGATGTGGGTACTTTTGTTTCATCTGATCTTCCCGTTCCCAAGTGAATTCAGGTCCCCGCTTGGCATTCCAGCGAACCTTCACTATTGGTATACTGCTTTGTTTCGTTCTCTTGATTTCCCTGTCCATGATTTCCACAGGTTCTTCTACGAAGTGTAGACTCTCGTTTATCTCGATTTCATCGATTGGAATTACAAGAGTCTCGTCAGACAGACACTTCTTTAGATTGGATTCGTGAAAAGTGGGATGTATGTTACTGAGTTCATGCGTTAGTTTGAGTTTGTAAGCCACCGGGCCGATTCTAGCAAGAATTCCGAATGGTACGATATACCTTGGATTTAGTTTTCCACATTTGCCTAAACGTATCATTCCTTTCCAGGGTGATACCTTTAACAGGATGCGGTCACCAACCTGGAACTCCAAGGGTTTTCGTCGTTTGTCCGCATAACTCTTCTGTCGGTCCCTAGATGCTTTTAATCGTTACCGAATTTGGACGATCTTCTCTGTTGTTTCTTGAATGATCTCGGGACCGGTGAGAGTACTGTCAGGTACTTGTTTCTTTGCTAGTTACGTATCACCCACTTTAGCCCAGCATAGAGGGGATCTGCACTTACGGCCATAGAGGGCTTCAAATGGAGAAACTTTGATGCTAGTGTGATAGCTGTTATTGTACGAGAATTCGACGACTGGTAAATGGGTATCCCAAGCTTTACCAAAATCTATCAGAAAAGCTCTAAACATGTCTTCCAGCGTCTGAATGGTTCTCTCTCTTTTCCCATCAATCTGGGGATGGTACGCTGTACTCATGTCGAGTTTGGTTCCCAATGCATGGACTTTTGCAGTGATTACCATAACCATGAGGTAAATCTACTATGTCTATCAGAGATAATGGATATTGGCATACTATGCAATCGTACTATCTCTTTAATGTACGTCCTGGCTAACTTCTCCATCTTGTCGGTTTCTTTTATTGACAGGAAGT